GGCCACGGAGCCAGGGCTCTTCTCCATAGGACTCCACACTGGAGAGATCAGGACGACCCGCTTCTTTCTGGACAAGGATGCTCTCAAGCAAAGCCTGGTGGTTTTAGTGAAGGACAATGGGCAGCCCCCTCTGTCTGCCTCAGTCACGGTCACTGTGGTGCTGGCCGACAGCATCCCTGAAAGCCTCTCTGATATTAGCAGCATCTCAGCTCCTGCAGACCCCCAGTCGGACCTCACCTTCTACCTGGTGGTTGCTGTGGCTTTTGTCTCCTGCTTGTTTTTCACCTTCCTCCTTGTGTTGCTGGCCATCAGGGTGTACAGATGGAGAACTTCACAGCTGTGTGCTTCTGGAGATGTGAATTTCAGTGGTGTTCCTGTCTCACAATTTGTGGGTATTGATGGAGTCCGAGCCTTTCTTCACTCCTATTGCCAAGAAGTTTCTCTCACCACAGACTCCAGGAAAAACCAGTTTAGTAGTCAGCAGACCTGTGAAGCAAATGATCCTATCCTTACTTTTGAAGATTTAAATCTTAATAATGGAGATCAGATCATCGAGGTGAGTTGATGAATGCAAGTTTATTGTATTATTATATCTGTTCTTGGCTGGGCTTTCCAAATGGACCATTCTGTGAGTTATTCTGAAGAGCAATGAGGTGTCTCGTTATTTCTGTTCTTATTCATAGAGCACTCATTTGGTTTCTTTGATTTAGTTTTGGAGATTCATAATTGAAACTTATTATTTTAGAATGTGTATTTATTTATATCATTGGCAGTTTTCTGGAAGAAATGATGTTATATATGCCTCTTTGTAGCCATTCGATAGGAGGAATGGCATCCCAACAACTGCACATATATGAGGCTATTCAGTCCTCTCTTCATACTGCAAATATGACTTGTAAACAAAACCTTTATGAAGGCAAGATTCAAATCAAGCACTTCTGATTCTTTACTTGGTCACACCAAGTCTTAATATTTTCCAGATGTGGTTGAATGTATCTGTTTTATGTGCTGTGTATTTTAGCTTATACTTCAGACAAACTATGTTGGAAGACAGCGCTTATGTATTCGTGGCTCTCCCGTTATTGAGGATCTTTCCCATTACATCCTTGATTGCTCATTGTATATCCAACCTAGACTAAAATTTCTCTCTGGTATTTTATCTGTTTTAAGCTTTTATTCAGACCCTGTGAAGATTGTATTTTTGTTAGCTGATTCCAATGTTAATGTATCCTATAGTATGGCTCTATTTGCCTTGGCTGCAAAGAAAATATGGGCCAACGTTGTTGCCAGGGGTACTAGTTAATATTTATCTTAGTGGGTATGCTGTGATTTAATTAGCCGTTCATAACTTCGGTTTTATGGTTTTATAATATTTTCGACTGTACTCTATTTTATATAATTATCTATGTTTTATAGTATTTTTCTCTGTTTTTGGATTGTAATGGCCTATGGCTAAATACAATAAAACCCTCCTTATTATTATTAACTATGTTGGAAGAGAATGTAGCAGAATGTAGCATGAGGTTTAGGGTGGTCAGCTTCTTAATTAGTGACACCAATGCAGAAGCCAAGGAGCAGTTGGGGAAATCATGCTGTGATCATTCCAACCACAGAAGTTCAGCTGTAGGACTAGGGAAAGGGTCACAACCTGTGAAATCAAGGCATGGTCCAGAACAAAATGCTCTTCACCATGGCCCCTAATTCCAGAGAAAATGTAATCAAGAGCAAAGTAGTTGAACACAGAGAAGCATCATGGGCTGGATGAGGGCCAGTGAAATGAAACTCAATCCAGATAAGACTGATGTACTGTTAGTTGATAGCGAAGCCTACAGGGATCTTCAGAGTGAGCCTGTATTGGACAAGGGTCCACTTTTCCCTCCAGAAGTAGGTTTGCAGCGCCAAGTGTTGCTACAGATTGAAGCACAGATCTTCTTTCTAGCTTGTAGCACCATTAGCCAGCTTCGCATGGCATGGAAGTTGTGACCCTTCCTTGAGAGGTGTGATTCGCCCTGTTTCCATGCTTTGATTATACTGACTACTACAGCGCAATTTGCTTGGGGCTGTGTCAAGCCCGCCCTGGGCTCCGAGTGCAGCACCTCCCGTGACCGTGGCATCCCAAGGCGGGGGAGGTCCGAAGACTCTGGAAGTTGATGCCTGTTAAAGAATAGGGGGGAGCGTTGGGGCCTCAGATGGGTAAGGGATGGAGTTTAATGGCACTCCGTAGATCCCTCTACCTTCGTGCATCAGCCTCCCAGCTTCTCAGCATCCTCCCTGGACTCTTTCTCTCTCTGCCAGCATCAGGTAGTTCCGAGCACATCCTTCCTTCACCTGCCCCTTCGCTCCCCTCTCCTTTATACCCAGCTCCCTCTCCCAGCACCATCTCCTGGCCCCGCCTTCCTGTGATTCCTCCCAGCCCCACCCCCTATGATAAGCTCTGATGCCGTCCCTACAGCCTGGGTGTGGTCGGAGCTATGCCGGCAGCGGTCCTGTTGGCCTGGGGCTGCGCCGCTGGCATGCGGGGTCTCGTGTGTTCACGTGTTCGTCATCAGCTTCTCCCGGACACCGTTAGCCTTTCCAGCTGCTCCTCAAGGCTCTTCGCTCCACGATCGGGCTGGCCCAGGTTGTTGTGCCCCGGTGGCACTGACGGGGTCCGGCGTTGCTAGGCGTTCCTGGTCTGTGGGTCTCCTGGGTGAGTTGGTGGTCGTTGGGATCCCTGAGGGGTGTATGTTACATCCCGGGACCCTGGGACCAGGGCAGGCTGCACTTTGAAGACTGTGCAGAAAACTCAGCTTGTTCAAAATGTGGCAGGCATGGATACCAGCAAGAGTCAGTCACAGGAAGTACATCTTATCAATATGGAAAGATTTTTTTTTAACTCAGTGTTGATTTTCTTTATACTGGTTATTATCTATATAACTCTACATGGTACAGGACCTGTGGATCTTCTTCCACATGAACCTGCCCACCACTTACATGCATGCGCAGGGGCCCTATTCTTAGCACCCCCAGTGGAAAAGTGAAAAAAGATGGGTATCAGAATGGGCCTTTTTTTCTGTGGAACTCCTTATCGGCAGATGATCACCAAACAACAACTGCAGGTTTTTTAGCTATTTTCCCAGTCCTGTCTTTAATTACACCCTCTACATGGTGCTTCCTGTTTTTATATTCTTGTTTTTATATTCTTAGGATTCTGCTTCTTGTGTTATTATTTGTATGTCTTAATCACGCACTTTTAAATAGTTTAATTTCTATTTAATGTATTTGGCTTCTTGTTCCCTGTACTTTTTTTATCTGTGTGTGCTTCTATCATTTTTAAGTGTATTATAAGATGTGGATATTTTTCTGTAGAAGCTGGTTCTAAACATGTTAAACATATATGCAATCAAACAAATGGAATGGGAAATTATTTTATGAAAGTTTGGGGTGGGTTACACCTTGAATGGTAAAGCAAAACCTAACCACTGAGTATCCCCAACAGGATATTTTCAACCCTATTTATACTGACAGTCTTCTTCTGTGTTTTAGAATAGAGTACTGGGACTTTTCTTCCCTGTCCTTAAAAGTTAAGAGTTGGTGGACTGGATCTTAAAGAATATATATATATTTCTCTCCCTTAGGCCTCATCTTCTACTCATGAAATTTAGCAAAACTTTTCCTATCCCTCATCAGGACTTTAAACTTCATGTTTTTAAAAAATAAAACTATTCACCATTTCAGAATTATAAGAACTTACTTCAGGGTTTGTTTGTTTGTTTCTTTGTTTGGCTAAAAAGCAGATCAATATACATAGAGGTGACAATTGAAATTTTTATTTTTAGAATTAGCCAGCTTCCAAAACTACATAACAAATAAAAGTTATAAAACAGAGAACATTATGCTACAATACCATATATATTTAATAGGAAATGTTCCATTGCACTCAACTGCTAACTTCTTCATTTATGATTGCACAGCAGGTCATGTGGTATAAAGCTGTAGATGAACATTTGTACCGTGTGCTTGGGAGTGAACAGGATGGAAGAACGGCCCGCTCTCCTTGACTCAATTTCTCACACTGCAGGAATCTCAAAGGGTCTCTGCCACAATGACTTCCTTTAAATCCCAAATCTTTTTGAAAAATAATATTCTTTAATAGTATAAACTTTTATTCCGATAAATATATCAGTTCAAAAATCATTCATGAAACTGCAAGTCTCACAAGCCGTATTTCTGCACATGTACCTGTGTTCTGAGTATATTAATTTTAATTTTCTCTCCTTGCACGATATATTCACTGTCAACTTTGGAGGCTCTGCTTTGGGTGTCCCTGCCACCTGAGTCTAGACCGGTAGCAACCTGAGAAAGGGCCTTCTTGGTTGTGGCACCAAAACTTTGGAACTCCCTTCCCAGGGAGATTCATCTGTCTGCCTCTATTATTGACTTCTGCCAACGGGCGAAGGCCTTTTTGTTTTGTTCGACATACCCTCAATAACTGTTACTGGCAGTCCTCTCTGGTTTTGTGTGTATTTATTGAGTTATTTTATATATACACTTGATTTTAAATGTTTTAATGTTGAAATGTTTTGATATTTTGATGCTCACCACCTGGGGGACTCTTATTTCTGTGGAAAGCCAGCACAGAAATGTTTTAAATGAATAAAATAAAAAAGTATTCCTATTAGAAACACCATTCGTTGGAATGGCATTTGAAAACTTCAGGCTGTTCACTGTGTGCATTGCAACCAAATACACTAGCAGAGTGTTTTAAAATAGAATGAAAATGTACAGAGGAAAATAAGCCTGTAGATCTGTTTTATTGCAACCATGAATAGGCATTAGGGAATCTACATCTTGAAAACTTGTCCATGTGGGGCAATATATGTCAAACAGATTGAGAAGAAAAAGCAGGGAAGTGCTGTTCTCCTGATGAACTCAAAGTGTCGCTGTTGGACAAAGTTGGGAATAATATTGTATCAGCAGCTGAGGCTCCTGCACAGTATTATCCATCTATTATACAGAAGATGAGAGATGAAGGAGGCCGTTTTATTTTTAAAGTTCCTCCAGAACTGAAATCCTCTTCATGTCTCAGGGGCGATCAGGTAAAGAGAACGACATTTCAAATATCTTACTGCAAAGGGATGGAATGTTTGCAAATGCTAGAATCTAGAAAGGCAGCTCTGATGAGAGTGGTGAGAAATGAAGATAGGACAAAGGAGATCCAGAGGAAGGCACTATTTTTGCTCATATTCTTGTCTTTGTTCTGTTGGGTGAGGTCTGAGCAGGTTCAGTATTCAGTTCTGGAGGAAACAGAAGAGGGATCTTTTGTAGGAAATCTTGCCAAAGATTTGGGATTGGATGCAAGAGAGTTATCAAAACGCAAGCTTGGTATTTCTTCAGAAAAGCAGTATTTCACTCTTAATGAACAGAATGGCAACCTGTATGTGAATGCCAGGATAGACCGGGAAGAAATTTGTGGGGAATCGCTCTCTTGTGTCCTAAAATTAGAAGCTGTTGTGCATAATCCTTTGAATGTAATTCACATCCAAGTTTTTATCAAAGACATCAATGATAACGCTCCTCATTTCCAAGAGGATAATATCAGACTCAAAGTGAGTGAATCAAACTTGCCTGGAACTCGGTTTTCCCTTGGAAACGCTGAAGATGAAGACATTGGGATGAACTCCCTCCAGAATTACCAGTTGAGTTCAACTCCTTATTTCAAACTAGATGTTAAAGAGAGTGAAGACGGTGATAAATATGCAGACTTAATATTGCTGAAACAGCTGGACAGGGAAAAAGAACACACACTACACTTGGTCCTTACAGCTCTGGATGGGGGAGAACCAGTGAAAACTGGGACCACTAACATGCTGGTAACGGTAATAGATGCTAATGATAATATGCCGATTTTTAGCCAGGCAGTGTATAAGGTAAGCTTAAAGGAGAATGCACCCAGAGGAACTTCTGTGCTGCAAGTAAAAGCATCTGACAGTGATGAAGGATCGAATGCTGAGATTATTTATTCTTTCCACAAAATCCCAGAAAGTGCCAGGCAGAAATTCATCCTGGATCCCCAAGATGGAACAATCACAGTTAAGGAGATGATCGATTATGAAGAAAAACAAAGTTATGTGATGATAATACAGGCAAGTGATGGGGGTGGTTTAGTGACACATTGTAAAGTGGAGATTGAGGTTTTAGATGTGAATGACAATCCTCCAGAAGTAGTTCTTACTTCTGTATCCACTCCAATTCCTGAAGATTGCATGCCTGGAACGGTTGTTGTTTTGCTGAAAGTTCATGACAAGGATTCTGGGAACAATGGGGAAGTCACTGGTCAGCTGAGAGACGTTGTACCTTTCCAGATACTTCCATCTTCAGATAATTACTTCAAGGTCCTCACAGATAGCTATCTTGACAGAGAAAAGATTCCAGAGTATAACATTACAATCATAGCCACAGACAAGGGAATCCCATCTCTCTCCACATACAAAACCATCTCTCTACAGATCTCAGATATCAATGATAACCCTCCAGCCTTCGAAAAGTCTTCCTATACCGCCTATGTGCCAGAAAACAACCCATCCGGATCCTCCATTTTCAGGGTCAAGGCCTCTGACCCAGATGTTGATAGCAATGCACGAATCACTTACTCCATCCTCAAGAGCAACATTGAGGCCCTGCCTCTCTCCTCCTACCTCTCTATTAATTCTGAGACTGGCACTATTTATGCACAGCGCTCCTTTGACTATGAGCAATTCAGGGAGTTCCAGATTCAAGTGCAGGCCCAAGATGGAGGCTCCCCCTCCCTCAATAGCAGTACCACGGTGAGAGTATGTATTCTGGATCAGAATGATAACATTCCACAAATCCTCTATCCTTCCCAAGGGACTGAAAGTTCATCTTTGTTTGAGATGGTGCCTTGGTCAGCTGAATCTGGTTATCTGGTGACGAAAGTGGTGGCAGTGGATGCTGACTCTGGACACAATGCCTGGCTCTCTTTCCACCTGCTGCAGGCCACTGAGCCCTCTCTTTTCACCATTGGGTCCCACACAGGAGAGATCAAAACAGCCCGAGCATTACTGGAGAGGGAAGCTGTGAAGCAGAGGCTGGTCATTATGGTGAAGGATAACGGACAGTCTCCTCTCTCAGCAACCGTGACTCTGAACCTCGTCTTTGCTGAGAACTTCCAGGAGGCGCTTCCAGAAATGGACACTCAACCCAGTGATTCAGACTATCAGTCTGATCTCCAGTTTTATTTGGTTCTGGCCTTGGCCTTGGTGTCGTTTCTATTCCTTGTGACAGTAACACTGACCATTATGATGAAACTTCGACAGTCAAAGAATCCAACCTTTCTTCAATGCTTTATTCCTGATGCGAAGACTGGTGCCATTTTTCCTCCCAATTATGAGGATGGAACTTTGCCATATTCATACCAGGTCTGCCTGTCTTCTGAATCCAGGAGAAATGAGTTAACTTTCCTGCAGCCCACTGTCCAAATAGCAGAGAATATCCTCTGTAATGTAAAATCTGACATTTCCCTGATGCTGAATGGAGAAAACCATTTAGAAGATGATTCAGAGAATGTGGAGAAGGTAAGCTCTGTGTTTTGAATCACTAACATACCTTACACCTTGGTAATTATAGGCACATTGTCAGAGGCAGTCATCTAATTTCTTTCTGATTACTTTCCGATTAAATCATCTAACTACTTTCATTTGATTCTGGCCATCTAGTAAAGTGAAGTTGTGTAGAAATACAAAAAAGTCCACCAGGAAGATGATAATAGAATGATAAATTGCTAAAATCTATCATAGACAAAATAAAAACTAAAACAGTTCAAAGTAAAGATTTTAAAGTAATCTGTTGAGGGCTCTTCATCATTTTTCTACTGAGGAATGATGTGAGTACTAGAATTGCCCTGTCAGTGTGTTATAAATTAATTCACTAGGGTTGGTCCGAAAATGTGCAAATTCTTTAATCTCTGTTGCACTGTAAATTGTTGTAGTTCACCATTAGAAGGCCAGCATTCAAATGGGTGTGAACACAGTTCTGTTTAACAGGCAGAACAAATGGATTTTTGGAACAACTGAGCATTGAAGTATCAACTCAAGTTTGGAGATATCAAGATAGTAAAAACAATCAAGTATGTCTCTGTGTGTGATTTTGTGGCAGATGGTTTTAATGTGCTGTTGATCATTAGGTTTTGTCTAGAATATTATAACCTCTGTTTTGTACTTACACTAGAAATAAGGCCCGTTGTGGAAATAAATACAACGGGATCTAGAAAGAGGCTCTGGGAGAGTGCTCTGGCTTTGGGCAAACAGTGTCAGTCTGCTTTTAAAACATGAATCTGGGACCTGCACACCACCAGAATACAGCAGATTCCATATGCAACTGACATTCCAACTGCCTTGCGGGGGGGGGGAGTTTGAGGTGTGGAATGGAGTGAAGTCCAATCAGCTTCCATATGCAAAAGACCAGGTTGTCGCAGCAGTTGTGGTGTGGGCGGGACCCGGGCTTTGCCTTCTGATTGGTGGCGATATATGCTGAGGAGCAGTGCCATCAGCCATACACTAAGGGAGTGCATTTTAGAATTAGAACTTTGGCACCCACTATTCAATTATATATAAGGAGAGATTGGATCCTGTGCTTGTAAAATGAAGCAATTTTTGCAAAAACAAGACAATTTTTGCTAATGGCTTGTTGTCATTGGTATTAGCAAAGACACAGATAAACTATCAGTGTATTTCATAATCTTTACAGGGCATAAATTGTAGGTTCTCTTTAGTTTCGTTATAAATAGCAAGGCTTGCCTGTGCACTAGAATCTTTGTGCCTTTAATTCAGCTGATGCAACCAGGGCAGTGGCCATGGTTGCTGATCAGCAGCTGCGACAAGAGTAGGGTGATGTCCTTATTGGTAGATGGTGTGAGACATCACTGCAGAGTCTGCATGGTGTTGGTGCACAGATGTTGATGGCCAAGCTGCCCTGAGCTGATGTTGATGCCTGCTGCCACAGAGGGCCAGTCTGGCAAGCATAAAATGTACCTGGGAGGTGTGTTTTAAGTGGCAGACATCTCATTTTGGTTGGCAACTGAATCATGTGGTTATTTTGATAGTCTGCCTTTTAGGAGCTAATAAAAGAACGGCCAAGGACTGAATATATTGCAAAACAATCCTGTGCTGAGTTACCCTTGTCTTAGCCCATTGACATAAATGGGATCTTTGAATAGGATTGTACTACTGGCTATAAGCAGAGGATGGACTGGGCCTTTATGGCTCAGGAATGAGCTGAGGAGAGCAATTACAGCCGAGGCTGCTCAGTTCAGATCCAGTCAGAGGCAGTGATGATGATGATGGATGTAGAGTCACTTGCTGCCACCTCTTGCACTGCGGGCCAAGTCCCGCCGATTAGCCTTTGTGGCTTGTTCCTGGCCACCAGTGGCTCTCCAGGGCAGCAGACTATTGATAATTAACGCAACAATCCTGAGTCCGAGATATTCGTGTTCTTCTTACCTCAGCAGACAAATGGATGAAATTCAGGAACGTGACAATCGTGATACAGAGCCTTCATTAGGCCTTCCATAGCTGTGCAGAAGAGCACATTTCGGCAGAGCACTCTCTCCCACTGGCTGATCTGCCAAACTCTGCTCTTGAGAAGATATAGCTGCCAAAACTCTTTATGAACATTGGTAGTGCAGGGAGCTGTGTTGCATTGGACAGACTGTCTTCAGGCAAATCTCTTCTTTACCCTCACCTCCTTTTATGAATGGGAATAAGACATTAATCACCTCTATCTGTAGAGTGTTCGGAAGCCAACATAATAAAAATCTGAAGTGGCATTTGTATCTGAAAGTACGGTGGATCCAACTTTCTTTTCTTGACCCTGTAATTTCCCCTTCATTAGAATGGGAGAAATGTCCAAGCCTCAATTTTTGTCTTTTTGACACATATTTATGTGCAGGAAGCCCACCAGCCATCTGAAATGCCACCATGCATTCTGTCACCTCAGGACTCTACCATCTTATTGTACTGCACGTGTGGTTTACCCCCGAGAGTGACCTACATCCAGTTTCTGAAGTCTGAAATCTGCCTGGCTTGTGTCCTCTCTGTATAATGTGTAGCTTGTAGTGTGAAACAGAAAACTGTTTTCTTTTGCATGTCTCTGGTAATTCTAATTTAAAACTGCATTGGATTCTCTAATGGCAGTAAAGGACCAGTTTGTGACTTAAGGTTTGGAAATTATCTGGTTTAATTACCCACAGTGTTTGATTTCTGAGTTGCTCGAACCAATGAAGTTTGGGCCCTGGGGCCATTGGAGGGGGGCAGCAGGTGAGCCCCAGTGTGGCTTTGTGGAATTCTGTAACGGCCACTGCCACTGCTTAGCATGCAGCAGGCGTATCCACTGTGCAGGACTTTCCTGTGGATTTATGCGCCATCGATATGACTAGTCCTCTCTGTCCCATCGAACGCCCACTCCCTTTACAGGGACACAGAATGGTGTAGCCAGCAGCCAAAATGAGTGGAAACCTACATAATCTCTGACTGCTAAAATAGTTATTGGCAATGCTCTGCTATCATCCAGTGGAACACAGACAGAAGAATAAAACATGGATTCTTGATCCCTTGCTGGTTTGGCTCACTTTCTGCTCACATGTAGGGATCACTGCAACAGCACCAGAACAGTTCGGGCAGGTTTGATGGTGGAGAACAGTTAATTTCACACATGGGATGACATACTGGGGTCTGCTGTTTTATTCTGGTTTTAACTGGAAGTGTTTTTAAACACCGCGCGCCGAAGAGACCGCCAAAGCTGGAGGACCTGCCCCTGCCCCTGGACACCGGAGATGGGATGCCAACCCCGAAGACCACCTGGAGGAAGAATGCCGGAGCCGGAGAACAACAGCCCTGCCACCTGGGTGCCAGTAGGCAGCCCCACCCCTGTATACTATGTGGCCTTAGTTAGGGAAAAATGTATTTGAAACTACCTGTTAACCGCTCAGAGACCCTTCGGGGTCAGAGCGGTAAATAAATCGAATGTATAAATATAAATATAAAACTATTATTGTAAGCTGCCATGAACCACAAGGGAAGGTGGGGTACAAATGTTTATAAATAATTTAATAAATAGCCTCAGCTATTCCCCCGTCACTACACTTGCTGCTGCCCCCGCATGTTAAAAACCACCTACCTCGCAGGGTTGTTGTGAGGATTAAAAAAATGGAGGAGGGGAACTCCACGTGCACCACTCTGGGCTCCTTGGAGGGACAGCAGGATAAAAACACAACAAATAAATCCTTTAAACCATGAAGTCCTTTCCTTATGGAAACAGTAAGTGTAGCCTGGCCACCTCAACAACGTTAGTCATTCTGGAATTTTATTTTTGAAACACATATCAACTATTATGTACGCAGGTATACTTTCTTATACATGTGGTTATTTAATGTTAAAAGTACTGTAGTAACAACATTTAATAGGCAACAAAGGGGGGGGGAATCTTTTATTATGTTGGACATTCTAATAAACTTATTTTAAAAACAAAAACCAAAGAGTATTTGACTAGAATAAATAGCCTCCAGAACTCTTAATGAATGACTTTCTCACGTAGAAGGAAGATGAGTAAACATAAGACTTTCAGCCATATTTTCTATTTATATAGACAATTTTTTTGCATATCAGACAAAATGTAGTTGAAAATTTAGCCTCTGGAAAACATGCCTTCAGTTTTTCAAAATCAGCAGATGCTGTTTTTGGTTGAGCCCCTTGGTGTCGCTGTTCACCAATAAGGAACGAAATGAGCTATCCAAGTCATTGCAGCATTGCTGTTCCTATACTCAAAATAACTGAGAGAATGAGTGGGGTCCTGCCATAAGAAGGGGAACGGAGGTACGTTTTGCTTACGGAAAAAAATAAGATCTTTTGAACCAGAACTGGGACTCACTGATCTACTGGAGCATGGAAGAAAAGCAGAGGTTATGGAGCTATAAGGAGGGGATCCTGCAATGCTTTCTTATGGTATATGCCTGGAAGGCAGCTTATGCACAAATCCACTACTCTATTCCAGAGGAGATGCAGAAAGGATCTTTTGTGGGGAATATTGCAAAGGATCTAGGAACAGAAGGGAAGCAACTTTCAGATCATGGACTCCGCATTATACCTGCTATAGGTAAGGTTCAGTATTTTTCTTTGAATTCCAACAATGGTCATTTACAGACCTCTGAGAGAATAGACAGAGAAGCAATCTGTGGACAGGCAGAGAAATGCATCTTAAACTTTCAGGTTATTGTTGAAAGTAAAAGAAAACTGTATGGAGTTGAAGTGGAAATTACAGATATAAATGACAATGCTCCTCAGTTCCCTCCTGGGGAACAAGAACTGAAAATCAATGAAATGTCTATTCAAGGGTCCCTGTTTCCTCTCCCTGAGGCTCAAGATCAAGATCTTGGCATGAATTCTGTGCAGAGCTACCAGCTCACAGGGAGCAGCCATTTTTCTCTGGATGTGAAAATGAGCGAAAATGGTGCCAGGCATGTTGAGCTGGTGCTGGAAAAAAATCTCGACAGGGAAGAGCAATCAATGTATGAACTAGTCCTCACAGCTACTGATGGTGG